AGCTGGATCGCTGCCTTCTCACAGACCAGAAGTGAGGGCGGTTCCCGTACAACCCAGAACGTTCCCCCGCCGTCAGGAGAACCAACCCACGGAGGAACCCAAGCAACTGGGTCATTTGCCCCCCGAGGAACGGGTGCGACGTTTTCGGGAGGGACGATGCGCCTATTGTGGGGATCTGGGCCATCCCCGGGCAAAATGCCCCATACGCCCGGGACACGGTTCCTTCGGGTCGGTGTAGGAGCTGTCTCACCCGGAGTTTCCACTCATGCAGCTCCTCATCACACCACCCTCCCAGTCTCCTTCCAGTTGAACCAAGGACCGGTCCCCCTGGTGGCTCTCCTCGACACCGGAGCTGCGGAAAGCTTTATCTACCAGGGGTTGGTCAACCGGCTCAAGATTCCACTCACTCTCCTCGACCACCCCGTTCTCGTCACCTCAGTGGACGGTCGCCCTCTCATGCCATATCCGATCACGCACAGAATCCAGAACCTCCGGATTACCATCGAGGAACACGTGGAGACCCTTCATTTCCTGGTCATTCACGCCCCCACGACTCCTCTCATTCTGGGTCATTCCTGGTTCCGCCTCCACGACCCTCACATCTCCTGGTCCACCAGTAAAGTCATGGCGTGGGGTGTTAACTGTCGCCTTCACCATCTGTCTCCAGGATCACAGTCTAGGGCGACACCACCCAAGGACGTGGATTTAACCCTCCTTCCACCCCAATACCACGATCTGGCTCGGGTCTTTGCAAAGGAGCCTACCACCAGGCTGCCTCCTCATCGACCCTACGATCTGGAGATCAGGCTCCAGCCAGGAACCACCCCACCTCAGGGTCGGCTGTTCTCGCTCTCCCCGGCAGAGACCCAGGCGATGGACGCTTATATCAACGAGGCTCTCCAGAAGGGGTTTATCCACCATTCCACGTCTCCTGGAGCGGCAGGGTTCTTCTTTGTGAAGAAGAACACTGGACATTATGAGTACCTCGTCATGCCCTTCGGCCTCTGCAACAGCCCTGCCGTTTTTCAGCGTTTCATCACTGATGTCCTCCGTGACATGCTGGGCCATTGGGTTTTTGTTTATTTAGACGACATCCTCATCTACTCCAGCACTGCCGAGGAATACACCCAGCATGTTCGAGCCGTTCTGTCACGCCTCCTGGAGCATGACTTATTCTGTAAACTGGAGAAGTGTGCCTTTCACCAGGAGTCCACCTTGTTTCTGGGGTTCATCATCTCCTCCCAGGGCCTACGCATGGACCCACAGAAGGTTCAGGCGGTAGTGCAGTGGCCACTACCTAAGACCCTGAAGCAGCTGCAGAGTTTCCTGGGGTTCTGCAACTTCTATCGCCGGTTTATCCGCAATTTCAGTGCCCTGGCATCACCGTTAACTTCCCTAACTAAGACAACCAATCAGCCTCACCCTTTCCGCCTCCCCCCCGGAGGCCGTTGCCGCCTTCCATGATCTGGTCCGCCGCTTTGTAAGCGAACCCATCCTCCCCCACCCGGACCTAACACGGCCCTTCGTTGTGGAGGTAGACGCCTCTGAGACGGGCACGGGAGCCGTACTGTCACAACGGGGCCTGGACCCCAAACTCCACCCCTGCGCATACTTTTCCCGGAAGTTCTCTCCTACTCAGCAGAACTATGGGGTCGGGGACCGGGAACTGTATGCGATAAAGTGGGCCCTGGAAGAGTGATGACAGTGGCTCCTGGGTACTCCCACTCCTTTTCTAATCTGGACTGATCATCAGAACCTCATCCATATTCAGACTGCTCGCCAACTCAACCCTCGTCAGGCCCGGTGGGCCCTCTTTTTTGAGCCTTATAACTTTCACATCGCCTACCGCCCCGGCTCAAAAAACCTCAAGGCGGATGCCCTTTCCCGTCAGCACACCCAGGACCCCAGGCCTCCTGAACCATTGTCCATCCTCCCGACCGAACGGTTCTTGGCCGCCCTGCAATGGCCCCTGGAAGCCTCCATCTGGGCGGCCCTCCCGGCTGACCTGGCGCCCCCAGAGATGCCTCATAACCGCCTCTACGTTCCGGCCGTGTGCCGACAGGAGGCCTTGAGGTGGGGGCATAGTTCACGGCTCGCGGGACACCAAGGCCAGGCTCGTACCCTCCAGTTCCTCCGCCGGGCCCTGTGGTGGCCCTCTATGAGAAAGGACGTGCGCGAATACACCGCTGCCTGCGACACCTGCGCCCGGTCTAAGTCCTCCACCCAACCTGGAGCCAGGGAATTACAACCGCTCCCTGTGCCCAAACGGCCGTGGTCGCACATAGGTGTGGACTTTGTCACGGGGCTCCCCGCTGCCGACCACCTGGACACCATCCTCACCATCACCAACCGCTTTTTGAAAGCTGTGCACTTAGTGGCTATGGCAGGGCTCCCCACAGCTAAGAGAACAGCGGAACTCCTCCTCGATCATGTGGTGAGGCTCCACGGATTTCCCCAGGACGTGGTGTCTGATAGAGGACCCCAGTTCATCTCACGGTTCTGGAAGGCTTTCTGTCGGTTGGTGGGCGCTTCCGCCAGTCTGTCGTCAGGCTATCATCCCCAGACTAATGGTCAGACGGAGAGGGCAAACCAGCAGCTTGGGCGCTACTTATGCTGCTTCGCCTCGTCTCAACCGTCCACCTGGCCCCGTTACCTCCTGTGGGCGGAGCTCTCTCACAACCTCCAGACGTCCTCTGTCACAGGTCTATCATCCTTCGAGACCTGTTATGGATACCAGCCCCCTCTTTTCGACCATCAGGTGCCAGAGGTGGAGGTTCCGGCGGCTCAGGATATGGTCCGCCGCTGCCGTCTCGCTTGGATCAGAGCTTGCGCCGCCATCACCCGGGCTAATACGCAATACTCCCGACAACATCGTCACCGTCACCGGCCCGGCCCTGTGTTCCAGCCTGGTGACCGGGTTTGGCTCTCTACATCTAATCTCCGGTTGCCGGCTTGTTCCAGGAAGCTGTCTCCCCGCTTTTTGGGACCCTTCCAAGTCCGAGATGTCCTCGGTCCGGTCGCTTACCGGCTGTGCCTTCCTTCCACTCTTAGGGTGCACCCTGTATTCCACGTCTCACAGCTCAAGCCGGTGGTGTCGTCTCCCCTCCATCCGCCTCCGGCCCGGGTGCCGACGCCCCGAGATGTCGATGGGGACCCCGTTTACACCGTCCGCAAGATTCTGGACGCCCGCCGCCGGGGCCGTGGATGGCAGTATTTGGTGGACTGGGAGGGTTACGGTCCGGAGGAGCGTAGCTGGGAGCCTGCCTGCTCGTTCCTGGATCCGTCCCTGTTGGCTGATTTCTGGTCTCGTCACCCTGGTCCTTCTGGAGCCATCCCTCGCGGGGGGGGGGGGGGGGGGGGGGGGGGGGAGGGTCCTGTCATGAACTCCTCCTCTAAACCTCCTCTGTCGGCCTGGCTGGCACTGCACTCCATTTCCCAGCATCCCTGTCACCGACGCTACCCGGTGACGTCATCCCGCTGAGCCTATTTAAGGACATGTCACAGCTGAGCCGGCACTCAGTCATCATCTCACGATAGACGCCAACCCATTCTAAAACGACTAAGCCTAATCTGCCAACTCTAAAGACCATCCGGGAAGAGAACTTCCCACGCTGTAATCAGTCACGACCAAACACCAGTCTCTCCGCCCCTGGGTCTCAAAGCCACACTCCAGCTCAGCCGATCGTACCTGACATTTCCACGTTAATTTGATTAATTTACAGTTTATATTTTTAGCTAAGTGACCTTATTTGAAAGGGGTTGGGACGCTAGCTGAGTCTGTAATTAGCTGCATTGTTCATGCTTGTTTTAGCCACTGAAGTAAATAATAAATTAGACCATCTAACACAATAAAAGCATCTGAAACAATACGTTGTTTACGCCACTAATACATGACGATAAATTAATGATCAACAATCAATAGTCAGCATGTTTATTCAGTTAGTCTGTGTTTATAAAAAAAATCAGTCAAAAACACAAGTTTTCATAAATTATTTATATTACAGAATTTTTATCTGAGTCTTAAAGCCTATTTTGTGGAGCAACCAGCAATGGTGTCTCTCTACTAACCTTGACTTAGGATTTATGCATTTCAACACTTAATTCACAGTGAGATCATCTTCATAGTGTCTGGATTTCAGCAGGATGTCTTAAGTTGAAAGCTGAATTAATTGTTGATCCAATATAAAATTGAAATTTTGCATCTCCAGTCTTCAGTAAAAAATATTGAGCTTTGATCAGCACTACAATGAATTTTGTGAGATTTTTTTGGAAATGGTAAATAAAATATCCAGTAACTCTTTAAAATGAGGGTCCCTTTATTAACTTTACTTTGTGCATTATTTAGCATTAATAAACAAAGGATCCGTTTATTAACATTGCCGGGTTACCACTATAGGGAGCCTAAGTCTCCTCCTTTTCCGGTCGGCTCATGGGTCTCTGGAAGAACAAAGTCAACGGGGCTTAGACCCTGGATCGCACATCTGTTATACTTATTGTAACGTGTGATCAAATATCCACACAATGAGGTGTCAGGTACACCACGAGTGCTCATTAACGTTCCATGGAACCAGCTTGGATCGGGGGGGTTTGTGCATGCTGTGTCATTTGGTCTTGACTAGAGGGTGAAGATCATTTCTCACGGAAGGTCGGGTTGAGGGTGAAGTGGATGATGAGGGTGGGGGGACCAGATATCCCCCAAACGTGCTGCCAGCGACCGTGGAGATCTGACCTGCCTGAATGATTTGGTCCAATAAGTTTTTGAAAAGCTTTTCCAGGCCTGCATTGAGTTGTGTGTGTTTGTGTGTGTGTGTGTTCTTTTCACTATCCCCTTCATCAAATGGCAGCTGTGCAGAACCTAATTATAGCCAGTAAAGACCACTATTGACTCCAAACACAACAGACGGGGCTTACTAATGAGATCTCAGAAATAAAAATCATTGACACAAAAAGAGCTTATTTTCATCTATTTCATTTTAAAACTGTTTTTTGTCTCCTTGTAGCTCCAAGAAGCTGCAGCCCAAAGCAGTTTGTGTGTAAGGACGGGGTGACGTGCATCTCTAAAGGCTGGCGCTGCGATCGAGAGAAGGACTGTCCAGACGGCTCTGATGAGGAGCCTGATATTTGTAAGTCTGCTACTCGGAAAAAGTTAGATTTATTTTGTCTTATGATTAATAAAGAGCTTCATCTACATTGGGGGGAGGGGTGGGAGTACTCCCACCAAATAAACTTTTTTCCCATCTTCTCACTGTACAACAAATCATAACGATAGGCTGCATTTTTAAAAAATATCATAAAATTTCATTGTTGGCAGAGCTAGAGCAGTTTGTGTTGTAGTCAGTTGTAGAAACCTTTGGAAGGAGGTCTCAACGTTGGTCTAAATCCTTCTGATGTAGATTTTCAAACACCCTTTTTCCTGTAGTGAACGACTGTGTTTGGTCCTTTCTTCATTGTAAGGATGCTTGATGGAGATTGATGAGCTGTTTGATTTACTTGAATAACCAGAGACAGAACAGAGGAACAATGAGACTCTCTCTCAGAGGTCACGCTGCCGCGAAACACTTCTGTCATGCACAATTGGGAGATTTGCAAAGTTTGTCTTCCCATTGACCTACCAAGGATGCATTTATGATTTATGAGCTCAAGGCTAGAACTGTCCCGAGATGTGACTGTGATGGTCTCTGTGTGGGCCTCTGTGATGGACTGGCAGCCTATCCAGGATGACCTCATTGTCTCGCCCAGTGACTGTAGTACTCCTTGACCCTACTGAGAAGTATGCAATATGTGGTAAATGACTGATGAGTGAGTTTTCTGCATCGAGGCAGTTAAGAAAACAAAACAACCTGGTCTACTAGACCCAGCTGGGCAAAGGAAAAGCTGTACCTTTCTGCAGCAGATTCACCAAACTGTATTCAGGTATTGGTTTCAGAAGCACAGCGGTACCTGTGGTATGGAGCCTGTCAGCCTTGACCTTTAGCAAAGAGTAAAAAGGCTTTCTCATTAATTATAGCTGAAAGCAGGAAACATGCTGCATGTTTCTGCCCCTTCACCCTTGACACTTCCTTTTTCTGTTCTTTAGGGGGAAAATACATCATATACAAATATCTGAAATGCAAAAAAGTAACATCCATCCATCCGTCCAGGACAGCAGCTCAAGAGGTAGAGCGGGTTGTCCAGTAATCGGAAGGTTGCAGGTTCGATTCCGGTTCCGGCCAGATAATGCTGCTGTTGTGTCCCCGGGCAAGACACTTAACCCACCTTGCCTACTGGTGGTGGTCGGAGGCACCGGTGGCGCTAGTGTTCGCCAGGCCTCACCTCTGTCAGTGCGCCCCAGGGCAGCTGAGACTACATCGTAGCTCATCCCCACCAGAGTGTGAATGTGTGTGTGAATGGGTGAATGACTGATTGTGTTGCGAAGCGCCTTGGGGGGTTGTAGAACTCAAAGTAGGTGCTATAAAAATACAGGCCATTTACCATCCATCCATATCTAGTAAGTAAGTAAGTAAGTAAAGTTTATTTATATAGCGCCTTTCACAGATATAAATCACAAAGCGCTGTACAACATGAGTAAAATCAGGGCAAATACCTCAAACCAATAAAAACATCATAAAAACAATAGCATTGACAACAATAGTAACCAAAATCAGGAGTAAAAACAAAGTCAAGGTGTGAACAAGAACAAAGCTATCTTTTAGAATATTTAGCGGGGGAACGCCTGGATGAAAAGGTGAGTTTTAAGATGTTTTTTGAAGACCTCTACAGATTTCAAGAGACGGAGATTTGAAGGCAGACTGTTCCAAAGTCTGGGTGCAATAGTCTGTAAGGCCCTGTCCCCTTTGGTTTTTAGTCTGGTTCGAGGAACAGCCAGGAGGTTTTCAGATGTGGATCGGAGGTTCCGTGAAGTGGTGTGTGGGGATAAAAGCTCAGATAAATAGCTTGGAGCCTGGTTGTTAAGAGCTCTATAGGTCAGCACTAAAACTTTAAACTGTATTCTAAATTCTACCGGGAGCCAGTGGAGGGACTGTAAAACTGGGGTGATGTGTGCTCGTCTGCTGGATTTGGTTAGGAGTCTGGCTGCTGCAGTTTGGATGGCTTGAAGGCGTGAGAGGGAGGTTTTGCTGAGACCAGTAAAAAAAGCGTTACAGTAGTCTAAGCGTGATGACACAAAGGCATGGATGATTTTTTCCAGATCTGCAGTAGTTTACGGACTTTTGAAATGTTTCTCAGTTGGAAGAAACAAGAGCGGGAGATGGTTTTGACGTGTGAGTCTAAACTTAAAACCAGATCAAAAATAACTCCTAGGTTTCTAATGTTGGCCTTGGCTGATGGGCAAAAGGAGGCAATTTCCTGCTCGATTTTTGGTTGAAGTTCCGGGGGTGCAGAGATCAGGGTCTCTGTCTTGTTGGCGTTGAGAACAAGAAAGTTGCTGGACAGCCAGTTACTGATCTGATCTAAACCGCTTATTACCCAGTAGTCACGCCTAGCTGGTGTCTATCCCCAGCAGTCATTGGGTGAACGTGGGGACAACCTGAACAGGTATCCAGTCCAGAGCGTGGATGTGTGTGTGTGTGTGTGTGTGTGTGTGTGTGTGTGTGTGTGTACTCGTCTATACATCAAAGTGAGGACCAATGGCAAGCTTTTTACCTGCAAGTCCAAACTGAGGACGTTTAGTGAAGTGAGGACATTTTGCTGGTTTTCAGTTTGGTACAATGTTAGGGTTTGGGTCAGGGTTAGGAATAGACTGGCTAGGGTTAGGGTTAGGCACAAAACCGTGTGGTTGGGGCTTCATTCTCCACCCAAATACAAACATGGAGAGTGAAGAAGGTAAATCCAGTAGGGTGAGGCAATGTGATCAGAATCTCCTCCTTACAGTCTGAGCCTAGAGCAGTACAACTAAAGGGATGAGCCAGTATAGCCCATATTAACCCCAACTAAAAGATTATGACTTTGCTCTACTGGTACTACTCACCTGGTCAGGGATTACTTTGATGCTGGTCAGCGACAAAAGCCTTAATCTGGACCCTGACCTAAAACAAGTAAAAAGTTTAATCTTTGAAAAGATTTGGTGATAAGCGAAGATTGTTTTTGTACATAGTTCCAGGTTCATCACATTTCATCTCAAAGCAATGGAGGTTGGACCACCACCGTGATGCACTCAAAGTGGCTCCATCCTGATGAAAGTACAGCTCTTTATTGTCCATCCCATGCTACTTTTTAAAAGCATATCTTAAAAATGGAAAAGTTAGATGCGTGTTTCGACATGACCTAGCTTTACTGACATTAGAAATACTGCTGGTTCCTTTGTGTTGTTTTGTTGAAAGTAGGATCTGTTATGCTGAGTGACCAAAGGACATTTTTTTCTGTAAAGTACAAAGAGGCTTAACATTTTTGCAAGAGCAGTTTTAATTAGAAATGTAGGTAACTTTTATCCTTACTTAAGAGCTAAAGTGTTTAGTCTGGTTCTGTTGTGTGCGTTCCTTTTTTGGTAAAAGTAAATCTAATTTGGACAGAAAACCAACAATAGCCTGATGCAAAATTAAAGGGACAATGTGTATTTTTTTAATCTTTAACTCATTCACTGCCAGCCGTTTCCTGATCATTAAAGCCCTTCGCTGCCAGCATTCCTCTGTGTTTTTAATGTTTTTTAAGAGTCACAGAACGTTGCGCGCTAGGATGATGTCGACGCCAAAACTACCAAAACAAAGAGTAGACTCACCTCTTATATGAGGTAGAATCTGCGCGTTTCGAGTGTTATCCGTTCTTTCATAATCCACTGTCGAATTGTGATCGGCAGAAGCTTTTCCGGTTAGCGCTAGGGTTGTCACGGTAACCAGTGTAGCGGTAAACCCCGGTAAAAAAGTTGACAAAAATAATAACCGTCTTGGTTTTAAAAAACTATTTTATCTCAGTGGATTACCGTGGCTGCGGTGTAGGCGCGGTGACCCTTACCAGCCACCGTATCATCTGCTGAAGTTGCCGGTGGCACATGCGCGTGTTGTTGTTTACAACCAAAACTTTCTTGAAGCTAAAGCTGAAATAATGGTCAAAGGAGGAGACGGCAGCACTCAGGACATTTATTATCTCTCAAAGAAGACAAAGTTGGAAGTATGGGCATTTTTTTTGGATATTTGAAGAATGCTGAGGGACAGTTGATAGAAGACGGCTATTCTGTTTGCAGCATGTGCAGGAAAAAGTGTCTGTGAAAGGCAGCAACGCTTCAAATCTCATGACACATCTGCGTGACCATCACCCACAACTCTATGGTCAACGCAAGGCAAGCTAATGTTAGCGTTTTAGCTAAAATGCGTGATCAGAGGATTTGGGTTGAGGGAGAATGCAACGAGTGGCTATATAAAGCAGCCGCAGCGCCGCTACCTGCATATAAACCGTGTCGCGGACACCCCCATGTTGAAATGACGCTAGGCATTACGGGGCTCCCAGGGGCAGATAAGAGTTGGTCTCTCTCCGAGAATAATTATGAATTTAACAATGATTACTGCCTGATGACATTTTCCCACATCTGCAAAGCTCACTGGAAGGACACAAACCGAGGACAATATTTTCCTGATATAGGGTTTATTACTCAAGTAAGGGAAAAAAAGTATCTGATTAGAAGGCTACTTGAGTACTGAGTATCATCTGATCTAATATTTTTAAAATGATGACATCAAACAGACATAAAATAAGAAGTTATGGGCAAATATTGCTATTTTAAAGACTAAAGGGGAAAAATGTAAACAAATAAACAACATAATTACAAAATAACACATTTTAGGCAAAATTTAGACACAAACTGAGGACAATATTTTCCTGATATACAGGGTTTATGTAGTTGTCTGAAAATGTAGCACGTTTAAAAAAATACCGCAATAACACGAAAACCGTGATAATTTTGGTCACAATAACCGTGAGGTTAAATTTTCACACCGTGACAACCCTAGTTAGCGCCTCACTTTTTTTTACAGCAACAGTCCAAAATGATCTCCTAACACATGGATTTTCTGTTTCCTGATTACGTGACGTGTGATGTACGCGGATGAAGATTGGCTTTAATGCTGGGATGTTTGTTCACACGGTGCGGCGTCTCGCTCCAACGCCCACACAGTTAAAAAATGCAATTGACAAC